TTCATAGCAACATGAACACAACTATATGAACCTATCACCTATAGTTTCAAATTCAAATATCAAACACAATCTAAGTTTCATAATAAACCCAAAACTCAGAAACTGGATTTAATGAACCCAAATTTGGGTTCCACAAACCTAGCACATGGATTCCATGAGGAACCCAAAAACCCAGTTTATGGGTTTTTCGAGGAACCCAACAACTGATGACGAAAAAGATGGTGAAAAGGATGCCAAGGGTGAGGATGAGGGGGAGGATAAGGATGAGGAGAAAGAAGAAGATGAAGAAATTAAAATTAATTATGTTTAAATTTATTTAATTCATGAATTAGAAAGTAAAATTTTTAATTTGTACAAGTGGCCTAAAATATTCAGATGAAATGTTTACGTGGATTTATAATTTTATTCACGTAATTTTCACATCATTTATAATATCATTTATATAAAAAGTAATCAAGTGATTCCATTAATTAATGTGGCAGATCAGCAAATTTTTAACGGAGGGACCAAAAAGGAGGCGGTTTTTAAACTTTACAGACTAAAAAGGGGATTTTGTTAGTATAGGGACCAAAAGGGGCCTTTTTTCAATAGTAGAGGGACCAAAAAGGGTATTTTAACCTATGTCCAAATAGAGATGTTAAGGTCCAAGGCCGCAAAATTGTAATCTTTCCATGGATTCTTAAACTATCTCTGAGGACTTTTCTTCATTTCCAAGCTTACCACACTGAGGAAGGTTTTCTCTATTCATTGCTACGTACTATCATCCTTGCTCTGCGCTTAGAAAACTTGCTTTCCTTTTTCGGTTCCATTTAAACTCGATGCTGTCTACATGACATGGAGGTACAACACCTATGTTGCTTTACCCATTCAGGTTGTAACAAAAGTCTCAGATAGTGTCGTTGTTCAGATTTGTCAAAGTTCCCCATATAGAGCATATGCATACTGCTTTACTTTGCACAAGTATACCCGACCTCTTATTATGGTTTTGCAGGGCCTGTCAACAGCCTTAAGTTTTATGCGTTCATACTATACAGAGTATGTTTAGTGTTGACTTTGTTTTGTTTATGTTTCCCTTGGTAGCCAAACTGTTGGAACTATCGATATAATCATTTTATTTTCATCTTAATGCAATTGGACAAAACGCTTATTTGCACTTTTTATTTTATTTTATTTTTTTTGTCAACATCTTATAAAATTTTTTTTCCCGATTAACATCTTTTATTTTTTTAAATTCATAAAAAATTTAATATTTTAACAGGTTGTTACGTGAGCATTAACAACTGGTACAATACCTGCCACCCAAACAATGACTTGAGTATTATGTGGCGTTACTAATCTGATGTAGACTTTTTTTTTTTATGATATGGCAAAATTTTCCGCACGTGTGAATGTCATATGCTGAAAGTAAAAAAAAAAAAAAAAGTCTCAACGATCTTCTCTTTTCTCATTGTTGACCTTTTTGCGGATGACGGGAAGAATGTTGTGAGTATTATGTGGCGTTACTAATCTGATGTAGACTTTTTTTTTTTATGATATGGCAAAATTAATTTAAAAAAACGTTGATTTGGAATTTTTTTTAAGCCAACTCACTGCCAACTCATCAACCAATTTTGCCTTAATAAAAAAATAAAAAATTACAAATTTACCCCTCTCCCCTTTTTGATCCATCTTCTTCCCCTCTTTCGATCATCTTCTTC